GTTTTCTTAAGACAGATCTGAGGATTCATTCATTTGTAGCTCTGGAAGGAGGCTCTCAGTCCAAATTGCCCCCACCACACCTCCTGGCCAACCATGCCCCCACATCAAAATGAACTAACAGTCCAGACCTCCACCGACCCCAGACCAGGTACCAGCAGCCAAAAAAAATCAGAGAATATCCCAAGGCTCTGCCACTCAGTGCAAACAAAGGAGAGGGTGTTAAGCAGGGGTGTGACACAATCTGCTGGAAAAGAAGTAAGACTGGAATGAAAAAAGACTAATTAGAAGACATTTAATAAGCCACAAAGAATATTGTGACCTTAACTAGGGCAGTGGAAATGGGGATGGAAAGAAGGTAATGACTCTGAGAAAGCTCTGGGAGGAAGACTCAATAGGATTTGGCAATTAATTGGTTATGGCCAGAGAAAGGAATCAAGGATGATTCTCAGGTTTCTGACAGAGCTACTGAGTCGCCATCTGAGGGAATGTTGGAGGTCTAGTGTTGAGAGAAAGATAAGCCTTGAGCTTTTAGGGGCCTGTGGACATGTAGGTGGGGACAGAGAATAGGAGCTGGATATGAAGGTTTGGAGTTCAGATGGCAAATGGAACAGTATCTTTTCTCCAGTAGGATCTCTGCTGCCATGTCAGTTTCCATTTCTCAGTTGCAGAAAAGATGGTAAGACATCAGCATACAGAGGATACTTGAAGCTATGGCAAAAGGTGAGCTCACTCTGGTAAGTGTGAGTGTGCAGAATAAAAAGAAAAGACAGCCAGGACAGAGATCAAAGAAATACCAATATTTAAGAAACAAAATTTAGGAAAAAAGGAAAAAGCATCCATAAGACACTGGGAAGGAAAAGCCAGAGGAAAGGGAGACACAGAAAAGAAAAGATAAAGAGCATTTCAAGAAGGATGAAGTGGTCAACTCAGCTGAATGATGCCAAGAAGTCCCAACCTTTTGTCTATATCCTACACTTCCCCCAACACACACACAGGACGTCACTGCCCCACAGTTCTCTCCCAGGTGTGTGGTTCCATCACTATGGGACTTCACTCCAGGTGACTGTAGCTCTTCAATAGTGTTGGCCACTTGACTGCAGCCCTGAGGGCACCCTCAATAGTCCCCTGAGTGCATGTTCCCCAAATAAAGTTGAGCAATCTGAACTAGTATCTTTGATCTCCACTTCCTGAAACCTGAAGTGTTCCAGGTCCACAACTGCACAGGCACCATCAGAAAGGTGTAGTATGCACCCTCATGAGGAAGGCAGCCCAGCATTGACACTTTCAATTCCAGAGTTGAGGCTGAGCTAGATGAGGGTCCTTGCAGCAGGCTCTGAGCAGCCCTAGACTCTGCTCCACCAGAGCAGAGTCTGATTACCTGGATCCTCTTCAAAGGTCCTCTTCCCAGACTACACTGAGGGCCAGGCCTTCCTTCGTGTCAGCTCTTCCCTATCCCCTCCATTCTCACCCTCAACCCTACCCTTCTCTCTTCTTGAGCTGCCCCCCCTTCTCAGACTCACAGGCCACTGGGAAAGACTCTGGTCTAGCTCTCGGCCACTCTGTGCTGTTCAGTTGGTGAATCCAGATCTTCAAGCTACAGGCTAAAATCTGAGTTCCTCAACGGTGGCACCTCCCCACTCTGCATGGGTCCTACCCTCCCACCACGCCAAAGATGGAATCCCTTTATAGAGACATTCCTGCCTAGGTAAGAAGAGAAGAGAGAAAACTGGTGAAAGAACGTTAAACCCCATTAGGAGCTTCAGGTAGTGAAAGCAAGCTACCAGGGACCAATGCCAGAACAAGTGTTGTATCTTAAACGTGTTTAGAAAGAAAATTAAATCAGCACTTACTAAATTAACACCTGCCTAAGCAGGATCTGTGACTACAGCATCAAAGCCCACATAAACCTGAAGTATCAACTCATCCAGTTTTGACAAAAGATGGACACAAAATGATTTTGTCAGGATGGGAGATTTCTTTTCTCCAGTGGGATTTCTGCTGCCACTTCAGTTCCCATTTCTCAGTGCTTCACTAATCAGGCCCTTTCCAACAAAAGTGACGTGAAGCTGGTTGGGGGAAGCGGGGGCTGGGAGAGAGGGAGGACAGCAGTGAGGAGCCATGTCTCTGGGAAACCAGAGTGGGAAATGGAAATGTTTCCTGAATTCCTTAGAGTTAGTTAAATCTGAAAATGGATGTCAAAATAAGAAGTAAGCCACATACTAACAAGTTGTGGGTGTCAGTCTAACACCACCCTTGTCAGGCTCATCATCAGCCTTTACCAGGCGCATGAAAAGGTGAGGGCTCTGACGAGCCATCTGACGAGAGGTTCCAGGAACGCCGATAAGCTGTGCGCTGTCACGCAGCACTACTTAGGTTTCCTCTCTGGCTGTTTTTATTTTGTTACACATTTAATTAAGAGCCTTCCCAGCAGTTATGCGGAGTCCTGCTTGTAAAAGGCAGCACAGTGCTCTCCTCCCCCAACCCCTGCCACCTGACATCTGCTTCCTCCTGCACACTCTTTCAGAGCTTCACTGGCTTTCCCAATCCAAACCCAAACCAGCGTCCCAAGTCTGCCCAACCCCTTTTTTCTTTTTGGACGTTATATGGTCTCAGAATTCAATTCTGCCTAGCTGTGAGTCTTTACCAATTTGAGCCTCAGTTTTTAATTTTGTTTTGTGTGTTCGTTTCAGCTTTAAAGGGATACTACCTCCTAACCAGGGAAGATAGGAGGACCGAATGACATATGGTTATGTACTCATGAAAATGTGGTTCCCTTTCATATATGCTTAGATTGAACAACCCAATCCCCAAACTTGATCACACCTTGTTGATTACATGATTTCTTGTGAAGATATAGAGCAGCCTCGGGAGTCACCTAAATCTGCCAGGGCCCACCATGCCAAGGGCTGAACTGCTACTGCAGGCCAAAGTGGGCCAGACTCCAAGCCTAGGGGGCCCAGCCATATAGTCCCCAACTTCATGCCCAGGAACATTTTCATATGCACATACAGGATGGGGCAAAAGTAGCTGTTCGTATTGTGAGAACATGAAACACAGAGTTTATTCTTGTATTGTTATTTATTAATTACTGTATTATTTCCCACACGAACAGCTGTAAACCTACTTTTGCCCCACCCTGTGTATGTACATGCCACAAAACATTCTGAAATGTGGGTTGTGTGACATGAACATGCTAAAGACCACAAGAAAACCACTAGAGGAGTGGGAGCCCCGGGAGGCTACCTGGAGGAACCAGGCCTCTGGACTGGACCACAGGAGCCTCAGAAGTCTGGTATTAGCCTGCACTCTGCCCGACCCCCAACAGCTTCTCCTGTGCTATGGAGCTCCACTAAGTCCTTCTCTGCTTCAAGTGCTCAAAGCTGCCAGGACACCTTAAACAAGAACAACAGCCTTCCTCTTCCTTTCTCCATGGAGCCCGCCTCTGATTCATACCAGCCCAGCCTGTATAATTTCCCTGACTGATGAATGTCATCGGGGAGCACAAGATCCCCTGGCGCTCTGGGAGCTGTGTGTGCAAACCTGGAGGTGTGCAGCCAGTGTGTGTACGTGAACTAAGGATGTGGGAGATGAGGTGTGTGGGTGTTTATGTGACCTGGGCTTGTTTTTCTTCCTCCTGTCTCACCTAGAGAGTTGGTATCCAATTGCAGGCCTGACACCCACCAAGCTGGGTGCATAACTTTGCCTCAATGCCCAGTATCCAAAAGGCATAAAAAAGACCTTGGTGAGAAAATAATGCCTAATTTGGTAGGAAATATCACTCCAGAACCGCTACTCCCAACTCCCCACCAATACCCCATGCTATGCTCAAAAGCATAGGTGCATGAGTGTGTATGCTCGTATATAAACACACACACACACACACACACACACACACAATGCTTGCCGCCACCATCAGTCACAAAGAACACAGAGTTATCGATTCTATCAATCCTCAGCAAACAATGCCCCTCCCACCTCCACCACACTTTAGTTCCCTGGGGGCTGTCTGAAGCCAGGTATCCATGAGGACAGACAAGACACAGAAGTGTCTGCCTAGCAAAGGAACCAGTTTTGTCTTCCAGGATCAGGAGACAAAGGAGAAAAAGCAATGGGACAAAGGAGAACAGAGGAGACTGGTGACTTGGGCAGCTTCCTAGAAGCAGCCCTCTCTCATTCTACACTTGGCTCTCAGTTGAATCATCAGGGCCTAGTATCCCAGATAAGGCAAAAAAAAAAAAAAAAAAAAAAGAGGATAACACAGTATAATGGTTAAGAGAAAGGGCCCTGGAGATAGGTTGCCTGGGTTTGAATCCTGGCCCTGTGTGTCTTGGGCAAGTTACTTAACCTCTTTGTTCTCTAATCTTCTCATCTATAAAAATAGAAATAGGAGTACCTATAGTTATAAAATGAGTTACTATTTCTAATGCACTTAGACTAATAATCACTATGCATCTGGTTAAAAAAGGAAAACCCTCTTTGCCCTGGCCTTTGTGTTCAGTGGTTAGAGCACTGGCCCGCAAACCAAAGGGTTCTGGGTTCAATTCCTGGTCAAGGGCACGCACGTACTTGGGTTGCAGGTTCAATCCCTGGCCCTGGTTGGGGTGCATGTGGGAGGCAACCAATCAATATATCTCTCTCACATCTATGTTTCTCTCTCATTCTCTCCCTTCCACTTTTCAAAAATCAATGGAAAAAATATCCTCAGGCGAGGATTAACAAAAATAAATACATACATACATACATACATACATACCCTCTTTAACTTCTTCCTTCCAGGGCAATGACATGTAGTCCTGCAACTGAAGGGCTGTCCTAAGTAGTGACACCTGGCAAAAACAGCTGTCCCAGAAGCAGGCAGGGCTCCCAGCTCTCTTCTTATCCTGGAAGCCCCCAAAATCCAGGAACTCTCTGGCCTAGATGGGCACTTATTTCTGTGAAAGGCAAGAACTGGTCCCACAGATCCCAAGCCCTGCCAGCAAAGTTGCCCCTCTCATACTCACATGATTTTTAAGTCCCAGTCTCCACAGGTGACAAAAATTGACTTGACGTTTGGATCTAAGAGGCCTTCCTTCGCCATCCACTCATCGACCCTCTGAAAAGTACACAACAAGAATAGATGATATTTTTCTTTTTTCCCGCCCCCCTGAGTACATGAAGAGCCACAACAGTGAAACGCAGATAAGCTGCTTGTAATCAGAGCAGGAGAAAATTGTAATCTTATCCAACCATGGCTCTGCTCTGGGCTCTCAGCCTTGGCTGGGAACTATAGAGGCACTTGCAGGACAATCCCTATGGGAAGATCCCACAAGATGAAGTGTTGGAGGGAGGGGTAATGGGGGTTTCTCCACACCCCTGTTACTTACCCTAGACAGGATAAGGACAGATCCCAGTAGGTCAATCCAAATACCTTTGGTCCTCAAAGGCAGAGTCTAGCATAGACATGGGCTGTCCTGGGCCATGAGAACAGGCTGGATCCCCAAGCAGGGACTCCAATCCACAGGTTCATTCATTCACTTATTCATTTGACCCTCCCACCAAATGTTTATTAACCAAACTTATGAATTTGGTTATTCCCCAAGTAAAGTGAAGTTAATTTCCACCATGACTCTAGCAGAAGACCCTTTGCTGGGTGGAAGCAAGCTCATTATTGGCCCCAAACTTGCTATCTCTCCTCTCCTCATTGATGATTAAAATTCAGTAGATTCTTTTGAAGGCTGAGCACAATTCCTAGGTAGGGAAAGAAATTGCTCCTAAACACACTTTCGAGTCTAGTTCTCCCTTCATCCCTTTCATGGGTTTTATTCTTTGCACTCACACTGGAAGTACAAATACTAAAATCTGTATATAATGACAGAATTATTATGAAGAATTCATGAAGCATCACCTATTTTTCAGACGATCCCAAGCATGGGGCAGCAGATCATACCACTGCTCCACTCACACAGGAGGATCATTTTTAAAGGCTTTATGGCACAGTAGTTAGAAATGCAGGATTGAAAGTCAGACACATATGGGTTCTAACCTTGGATCTTCAATATCCTGGCTGTGTCATTGATGGGAAGTCGTTTAAAAGTCATTTAACCCCTCTGAACTTCAGTTTCCTTCGTCTGTAAAATGAGGTAGGATGACTCCCCTTACAGATTGCTTTGAGAATTAAATGTAATAATGTATTTAAGTGCTTACTACAAAATAGACAGTAGGCTAAGAAGGGGAGAGAGGCAGATCATCATAATACAATGTAATAGATGCAGTAATAAAGAAGTGACCAGAACGCTACCGGACCAAAAGAAGGAAGTGGCTAACTCTACCATTTACAGAGAAAGGAGTCAGAAAGGTTTCAGAAAGAAGATAATTGAGCCTGGCCAGTGTGGCTCGGTGGTTAAGCATTGATCCATGTACCAAGAGGTCACCAGTTCGATTCCCAGTCAGGGCACATGCCCGGGTTGTAGGCTCAATCCCCAGTAGGAGGCATGCAGGAGGCAGCCAATAGATGATGTTTCTCTCTCATCGATGTTTCTATCTCTCTATCCCTCTCCCTTCCTCTCTCTCTAAAAAAAATCAATAAAAACATATTAAAAAAAAGAGAAGATACTTGAATTAGGGGTTTGGTGGTTGGGTTTGCTTGACAGGGTGGAACAGAGAAAAGGATACTAAAGGCAGAGGCACATGCCCAATCATTGTGTATTTGAGAAGCAATTATCTGTTTAATGTCAGCCTTCCTCACCAGACTATAAGCACCATGAAGGCAGGGACTCTTATCTGTCTTATTCACTATGGTAATCTCTAACCCAGATATTTTCGAATTGAAATATGAGTAGGGAGTAATGTGACCACAGTCCACAGTGTATAGAAAGGAGGAACAGGAATTGAGGCTGACGCTAGGTTAGGACAGACCTCCTCCAGCTACCCAAGGTCTAAAGGAACCCAGCCTGAGCCTACTTAGAACATCTACGTCAGATGGATAGATGGATGGGTTGATGGGTGGATTATGGATGGTAAATAGATGAGTGGATGGGTGGGGCATGAATGTGTGGATGGCTATGTGGATGGATGGATGGGTTTACAGGAGCCTAGAAAGTCCATCCATTGACCCTGTCTTGGGATGAGGGAATGACCACCACTCACTCCTGTATCCTCTTTCTCCCTGCTGGCTCTAATGGCTCCAGGCTGGACAGGGGAGGTGGGAAGAGATGGCCAGGCCAAATGAGCTAAGTGAAGGAAAAAAATAAAAAGAACAAATGAGGCAGGCAAACACCTAGCTAACTACCTGCTCAGGGCCTGGTTAAGACAAAAAGTTAGCTCCTTAGCTCTATAACCAGCAGAGCCTGGTCTGGTCTCCTTATCTTGACAGAGACTCCCTATTCAGGCTGAGCCAGAAATCTTCCCTCTTCCCCACAAAGTGTGCTGAAGTAGCAGAAAGAGCTTTCTGGGGGAGACTCAGAATCCTCTGAGCATTCCTCTCCAGGGCTGGCCTCCTGAAGATACATCTCCCCCTCAACTGGCACCACTGACAGAAAAAAATCTCTTAACCCCACCAACCCTGGTTTGGTGATGGCCCAGAACAAGCATCTTCCTCCCAAGACCCCAACCAAACAGAGACGTTCCAGGGACAAGCTGCCTGTGTTATATCCTCCCTCAGGAGCCAGGCCCTATCTGGGGATGCAGGCTGTGCCAGAGGGAAGGATAGGTCCCTTCTTTCTCCTTGACTCTGGGAGGCTCCTCAGTCATAAGAGTGAATCTTCTGTCAAAAAAAGAGGAACAAACCCTCGCTGGTTTGGCTCAGCGGATAGAGCATCAGCCTGAGGACTGAAGGATCCCGGGTTCGATTCCAGTCAAGGGCACATTCCTGGGTTGGAGCTTGAACTCCAGTAGGGGACGTGCAGAACGCAGCCAATCAATGATTCTCTCTCATCATTGATGTTTTTATCTCTCTCTCCCTCTCCCTTCCTCTCTGAAATCAATAAAAATATATTTTTTTTAAAAAAAGAGGGACAATAGGGTTGGGAGACACCTCAGAGCTCATCTTCTCCTAGCTTTCTGCAGGTACCCTAATCCTCTCCTTGCCCAGAACCTGACTGGTCACAGAGCCTGGGCTTGCACACTGTCAGGGACAAGAAGCACTCTGCCACTGGCTGAGCCAAAACCTGGCTCTCTGGCTCTGGTTCCATCCTGGGGAGCCCCAGGAAATTCAGTCTGCACTTCTCTCCCCTGTGGGACAGGCCCTCTTGGCTAAATAAACAGCTCGTTCTCCCTCTCCTGTCACCACCCTCTTACCTGTATGCTAACTACCTCCAATGCAGATGTGCCCTGCTCTTCCCCAGATAGTCTGCTTTCTCCTGGGCTTTGACAGGGGCTCAGCTTTGGGTGCTTTGGTCTTAAAGAGAAATAAAGCACCCAAGGAAATCTTCTCCCTGCTCCCTAGAGAGGAGGGAGTGGGTGTGGGACCTGGGAGAGGGACCGTCTCCCTCTCTGAAAACCCCCAGGCAGAGGGGGCTGGGAGACAAGCTGAGGCAGAGCACTGCCCTTCCTCCTTCCTTTAGGCTGGAGCACAAGAAGCTGCATCCTAACCTTTACCAGCTCCCCGAGGAGAACATCCTAGAAGTGTGGTCTCTGCCAAGGGTTCTAAAGCCTTTAATTTGATTTTCCTCACACAGGCAATTGTTGTAATTATTCTGATTAGGAATCATTACCCAGTACAGCCTCTGCACCCGACAGGCACCATGCGTCCAGCAGCAAGCTGCAGTGGGGCAGGCGGGCCCAGCCGCACCTCCTGGAGGAGCCGACAGCAAACAAAAGCCATCGATGGGGAGTTCTGGGGGAGTTAATGAAGTGCTCACATGCCACGAGAAGCCAACACTAAAGCTAAACAAAAACACCTCCAGTCCCCGGGGCCAGTCCCGCAGCGCCACAGCTCAGCTCCCCTCCCCAACCTGCCCAGCGCAGGCTGCCCAGCACTGGCCAGCACTGGAAGGGGTGGGGGCTCTCTGCCAGCCTCCTGGCAGCACTCGGACATCTTGTCAGTAACCCTGACGGGAACAGCTGGAGATGACAGATCAATGGTTCAATACCCTCAACAGCATGTCACTGATGTGACAGCAAATGTTATTCTAATCAAGCCATAATCATAGTCAAATTACACAGCTACATTCTCAGGAGGGGAGGGAGAGAAAGGCAGCAGGAAGGGATCAGAGGTCAGGAATTAAAGGTCATTCAACCTACCTCCAGCACTTGCTGCAGGCTGGGCTGACCATCCACCATGGCTTGAATAATCCCGGTGAGCTGAAAGGAAAGATAAAGAGCCAATGAATGGAAAACTCGAAGCTGGAGTTTCGGTTTTTCCTTTCCTTTCTGTTTTTATCCTTCTACTGTAAAGAACTCTGACCTGCACTGCTTTAGGCTGGGAACCTGACAGAAGCCTTGGGAATCAAGTCCTAGGACACACTGTAAACTTCCCAACAACATCCTGCCCTGAAATAGATACACATCTACCCTCTGATCACAGGGTATGTCTCATACCTGTTTCAGCTTTCATTTGTAAGAGAAAAAAAAAAGATTTTACGTGTCTTTTGTGTTCCATAGGCTCAATAACTCCCCACAAATTTCAGTCTAAAGTAAATCACCTCCAAGCTTCACAGAAGCTCCGGTCGGACTTAGGGAATAACCACATAGGACAGGCACACTTGGTTTCAAGTCCACCTCTTCTCTGGGCCTCGATGTCCAGCATTTTCCCATCTAACACCAGTGAAGGGCCAGAGGGTCCCACAAGCTCCACCCTTCACCCTGTATGCCTGGAGCCTCAATACCAACTAGCCAAGCAGGAAACAGGCACCTTGAACTGATGGGGAAACTCAGGCAAAAAGGCCTAAGGTACAAACCTGGTCTAGAGAATTTCTGACTCACAGGCCTATGCGCCACCCAGGGCAGGCTTAGGTTAAACAAGCTTGTTGCTTTGTTTTGTTGTGTTTTGTTTTGTAGTGAAAAAATCCCTCAAGCACAGACTAGAACATATCGCCTCAAGGATCTGAGGCAGGAGGTCCCCATCCACAGAACAGGACTCAGCTGGAGATCACCATGCCCACTGTGCCCCTGGCTACTTCCAGAGACAGTAGCATCGAAGGTTTGCTTGGAAACTTCTTATTTTTTTAAGTGTTGGGGGTGCAGATTAAACTCCAATTAAACTATAATTACATTTAATGAATACCAAATACCCAACTCACAGGAACCGCTGGCACTAAGAGGGAAGGTTATTTTCTCATAGTGACTTACATGGAATGGTAATACACACCTTTCAGGGAAGAAATTTTCATTTTAAGAACGCTGAGTTCCTCTAGGTGGGTTTCTGTAGTTCATCAAGTCATTATTAGGTGGTATTTTAAGGAAGTGTAAGGACACAGCCACTCTATTTTATATTCCAGAAACTGTTTTTATATTAATCTGTATTTTAATTGGGTAACAGCTGCTGCCTACAGACTTCCCATGGTCTAAAAGGAAAATAAATTAGAAAGATTAACTACACTGTTGTTTCAAAAGGCTTTAACCCACAGCATGCCCACCCGGCTGGCACCTCCACACCCTTTCCTTGCTTGGGAGACCAGAGAATTGCCCAGCAGAGGGAGGGCTGAGCCAAGGAGAAGAACAGATGGTCTACTGAGGGCTGGGGGCAGGGAGGAGACGAGCCAGGGTCAGCAGCTTTAATCCTGGAGTGCTAAGGCTCCTCTGATTTAGTCAACAACTATTCATGGAGAGCCTACACCATGCTGGGCCCCATTCTAGGAACTAGGGAGTCAGCAGTAAAGAAAAACATGAAAACCTTCATTGGATCTGTGTTCTTTTTGGCAGCTCTTTCCTATGCCCAGCCCCGCTACCACCCAGAGTATGTACACCTTCCAGAGCCACACACTGAGCAGGCAGTTGCCATGTTGTGCCTCAGCATGCAGGGGCCAGAGTCCAGAGTAGACTTGTTACCAACTCCAGCTCCATATCCAGATGACTGACTACCACCCATGTACCCACACTGCCCTTTCTGGCCCAGCTTCTCTTCTGCTTCGTTCTCCCAGGGCCGAGCTATATCTCCAAGCTTGGAGCTCTGGGTCAGGACTATCCTGGAAGAGGGCCCACAACCATTCTTATTTCTTGGAAAGCTCCAGGGTCTGTGGACCAGTCTCATATCTGGTCTGAGTTTCTGGGACAAGGGAGGGCTACTCCTTCTCTTGGCTGCCATCAAGGGTCACTCAGATGAGCTCAATGCCAAAGGCTTCCAGACACACAGGAAACCAATGGCACCCTTGCCAAGAAACCTCCCTCCTTGGAGATGGAACTTAGGTCAGCATCTGTATACCCCAGAAGCACCTGCTCTGGGCCCTAGGGAAATCCCTGGCTTGGGAGAGAAAAATCACTCTACCACAAAGGAAAACCAGGGGTGCTGCTCTGTGGGAGCTTCACCACAGATGAGGCCTCCTTTTTCCACCGTGGAGGTGGGGCTGGGGCGCTAGGGTCCTGGGGCTTTCTCAAACTCCTCTGCAGTGGTCAGTAATCCTAGAATTACCAGCTTGGGAGGAACCCAATGAGCTCAGCTCCCTCTCTCTCCATGCTACCCATGCCACACTGGTGGTCCAACAAGACACAGCTTACAGCTGACTTCCTAAAGGGCTTGACTCAACCCCCAGAGACACAGAGGCTTGAGCTCTTGGTTCAACTTGAGGCAGTCTTCCAGGGGGAGGCCTCATTCCCCTGTATTACCAATTCCTCCAAGGATGGACTGCTATCTTTTCAGCTCTGCCAAGGCACTGGCTGAAGAGGGAGTGAAATTAAGAAAGTTAGTCCCTCTACCTGATAGTGACAACCAGTAAGACACCTGTAAGACTTATACCACAAGCTATGACAGAGAGAGACAAGAGACAATTTAATAAAATAACTACTGGGAATTTCTACCTTAGGCATAACTTAAATCTTTCATGCTACAGTTTAAGCTCATTTCCACTTGGGTTAATATATATTTGTAAAAAGCTTTCGCATCCTCACAATGAAAGGTACTAGAGCAAAGCCAAGTATTATTAGGCTGAGAACCAGAGCTCACAGGCTAAACAGAGCTCAGAGACCTTAACCACTTAAAGCAGGAGAGGTGAGAGGAAGAATTAATGTGTGTTCTGTGGCTCCTTTCACTGAGGGATTACAGATTAACTCCCGCTTCTCCAGACTCGGAAACCACAAGGCGAGGGGCTTTTGACCCTGACTGATAACATGGCTGGTTACTGAGATCCCCTACCCACACAAGGGCTTTGTCCAGGAATGAGCTGGCTTCATCACAAACACTAGCAACTACAGGAAGCAGCCCAAGACACTTGGTGCCAATAGTATGTCAGCATCCAGCACTTTCTCCTTTCACAGTTTATCTCCAACACAATCGTATTCTGACACCAAGACAGTTTGTTGATTACATAAGCACTTGTCTCTGGCGTGCAATCTGATAATCAGACCCACTCTTTCTCCTCAGACAAAAAGACCAATAAATCTCACCCTTTATAAGTACAGGTGAAAGACAAAGCCCTTTACTGGCATTTAGCAAAATGGGTATTTTTCTAGTTGTTTTTTCTCCCCCACAACAATGACAATGACAAAAAAGACTGCTCATGTTAGGGACTGTGTGGCAGTCCAGCTGCTGGAGACAGAGATCTGATGAGCTGGAGCAGATTCTAGAGGTGGTAGGGATAGGACTTGGGAAGGAATGAAACACATCCCATCCTATCCCTGTCAGAACCATGTCTCCAGGCTATCAACTGAAAGTAAGAAAGGACCTCAAAAAGGCCAGTAACGTGTTCATTACACAGAGCAGTAAGTGTCTGTATGTGGGCTACAAACTCACCCAAAGCAGAATCCCTCTTCCTCCTGCCAGCACTGAGCCTATCTCCTTCCCCCCAGCACAAGCATGTGTTCATGTGTGTACTCATGTGTCATTTGTGTGTACACACACACACGTCTCTTCCTCCTGCTAGCACTGAGCCTATGTCCTTCCCCCCAGCACAAGCATGTGCTCATGTGTGTACTCATGTGTCATTTGTGTGTACACACACACACGCCAGAGTTCTTAAGAACTTGTGCAAGAGAGAAAATTCTACCAGAGGAGCTGCTTTGGCACAACCAGGAGCTTTGGGATTGTTCCTCACACTTACTAATGAAAGGGTCCCTCTAGCTGGAAAGGCAATTACTGCCAGGTTGGATGAGGTCTGAGAACAATGGCCCCCATCCTGTGTCCATGCCTCTCTCTGCATAGCAGTTCCATATGGTATGGAGACAGGGCAATATTTAGATGATCCAAGGTTTTCCAAAGACTTTACTTCTCAAAAGAGCAAGTCAGCAGTACAGTTACTCTAGGAGAGGCAAGGTGTGGTCGAATAACTCCTTGACAATATTAATCCATTTAAGGAACATGTATTAAGTGTTTGCTTGGTACCAGGCCCTAATGATGGGACAAAGATGGATCAGATCTAGTTTCTGCTCACTGAGTTTAGTGGGGAGACAAGATAAATAATTACAGTATAATGGAAATGATCAGTGTTATGTTGGGGTGAACACAACCCAGCCTTCCTAGCCTTCCCAGCCTTCCCAGAGAAGGGACCCTGAGCAGAGTCTTAGGGGACAAGCAGGGCTGGGGGAGGGGAGAGGGAGCATCACCCAGGCAAAGTACCATCACGTGCAGAGGTAAATTGTGAGAGGGTGACATTTGGATGAGGGAAGTGAAGGGAAGATGAAGCAGGGAGATATGAGGCTGGACAGAAAGGCAGCGACCCGGTCAGGGAGAGTTTTGAGCTCTGGAAGCCTGCCACACTTTCATACTCACAACAAGGATCTCCCAACACCACCATGCCTACTACCATCCAAATTATGTATGTATGTCTTTGAGTGAAACTTTCTAGAAATTTTCATCATAGTCCAACAATCCCTCCCCACTCAAAAAAAAAAAGCAGCAGCCCTACTCTAAAAAAACACCCTTTTCCCAATACTATAAAGCATCTACTCTTGCCCAGGCCGAGCTCCAGCAGTGCTCTGCTCCATCCCTAAACAGGCAGCAACTTTGACAAATCTGGGCCTCCTTGTCTATGCCAAGCAGCCTAGCCGGAGCTGGATCCCCCAAGGGGAAGTTACACAGAGAGGAGGAAGAGAAGGACAGAGGATACTACACTTTCAGGCCCATGGAGGGCTCAGGCAACTAGCTAGTTTAAGGAAAGTTTTCCCTTCTCCTCCTGTAAGGAAGGGGATTTTCATCACCATCATTAAAATGTTGATTTTTCAAAAGGGGCAAAAAAGACAATTGGTACCCCCTGGTGGCATAGGTTATTCCCAGGGAAAGGGGGGGGGGGCCGGGGGAACAATAGACCCCAAAAGGGAGAAAGAACCTCAATATCATTAGCTGGAACAACAAAAGACTTGAGAGACTAGACACCTTGGCAGGCGGATGCCTGTAAAAAAAGGCCCACCTGAGTCAGGCAGCAAACACTGGCATCAAGCCCAGGAATGACCCTCCGAACCCCGTATCTGGGCCCTCCCACCGTGGCAGGCAGGTCCTTTCCCAGCTTCCTCCAAACAAGATTGTTTTGGGGTTTCTCAAGACCCTCTTTCCTCCTGTTTCATTCATATGTAAAAGTAGGCCTCCAACTGAAGTCACAGTCTTAATGTATCCCAGCCCCAAATTCTGAAAGGATTCTGGAAAAACTCATGTTCCCCCATCACCTCTGTTACTACATATTCTTGACTATTCTTGTGATTTCACCACAGCCTGTGGCCACCACAGAGTATAACATAACACATCACAGGGGAAAGCAGGCACAGAAGGCTCTCCGTACAGTCATGAGTCAGAACTCTTCAGGGAGCCTCTCTGCCAATAGCTCATTTGAGCCTCCAGCAAGCATATCTAAGATCTCAGTTTCCCAGACTGGAAAACGGGGCTAATGCTGACCTGCTGACAAGGTGGCTGAGTTCAGGACCAGCCTAGGACAAGGATAGGGACAGTTCAGCCTTGGCCAGGCTGTGCTCATACCCCCACTGGATTGCCCTTCTCTTTCCTCAGTGATAGAGTGTGCTTCCTACCTACAAACTCAACTGATGTTTCATATAGGGCTATTTTCCTCAGGACAGAGAAACATCGTCAAAAAGCTAAGAAACCCTGAACCTCTCCTTCTAAGAAGCTGAAATCTTCACCTCTTGTCAAGGGATCCTAAGGAAAATGAAACTGAAAATAAATCTGAGCCCCAGAAGCACCATCCTGCTCCTTGACTCCAACTGCCCCGTCACCAGGAAGGGTAGGGATTACAAGAAAGGGAAAATGTTGGTGAAACTGGGACAGATTGTGCCACTGTTCTCCCTGGGTCTCCAATGACCAGAGTGGCCCAAATGGAGTGGCAGACTTTGTAAAGAGCCAACTGCTGGGTCCAATGTGCACCGGCCTACACTGCTGATAAGACCTAACTTTCCCTAATGAGCCTATATACCAATGGTCCAAAAGCTCCTGCCCCAGTGGCCGTTGCTGCCACCTGCAGGGCCCTTACCTCTGTGCAGAAGGGAGTAAGCTGTGGATGGATTACGGGCTGGACATACATGTGAAAAGTAGACTCAATCTCCATGGTCCGGCCATTTAGCTTCAGGATGGGGAACTCGATGATTTCCTGGAATGGCAAATACACAGAAGAAGAAGTGTTTGTTTGTTTTTTAAATCAACCATTTCAAATAATAACGCAGAGTTAAGAATGAGAGTGTTTTGAACTCAGTACCTCCTGCTAGGCCAAACCCAAGACTGAGTGAGATGCTGCTAACTCAGTCAAGTCCTAACCCTCCCACTGTGAACATGTTCAGGTTCCAGGGACTGGACACATGCCCCATCCCCGTTGTCTCTGGAAAGGAGAAGGTAGACACTAGTACAATCTGCCCCAGTTTCCCCAAGTGGTTCTCTAGCAAGTGGTTCACTGGAGCCCCGAAAAGGGGGCCCTTATTTCCCCTGACCCAGGTCCCTGCCCTGGAAGGGGCCTGACTGTCCAGCTATAAAGACAATCAGCCATCAGACCGATGCACAGTCTCCTGTATATGAAGTTTAAACAGAGCTGAGGAGTTTCATTAGTTTTTATAAAAAACAATAACAACAAAACATAATAAATAAAGCCAAAGGGGATAGTAAAGAGGCGAAAACTGAGTAAGAGTAATAAGAGCTAGTGCCTCCCACCTTTCTTTCAGGCAGCAAGCCCTCCCCCTAGGCAGCTCCCCCACCCCAAATCGCTTAACCAGCCCTTCCCAGTCCACTGGAACGTAATGGAAGAGAAGGAGGAGTGACAATTTGTTTGGTGTCTCTAAGATTAATTTGTCTCCGTTATTTAATAGAGATGCACAGCACCAAGGTCCTGGTGTGCAAACAGGCTTGCAGAACGCTGGCTGTGCAGCAAGCCTCATACATCGCTCCTGGGAAGGGAGGAACGCACCAGAGGGGGGAGAGGGCAGGAGAGAGCACACACGCACCAGAGAGAAGAGGGAAAGCAAGCAGAGAGAATAAAAAAAATTATTGCTTTTTAATATTCAAAAACAGTTTGCAAAATTTAATCAAAGCAGAGGAAAAGCTAACATTTTTACCACTTTGACATTTTTATTAGCGCTTTCATAAATTTTTAAAACATGAATGGAATTAGTTTACAACACAAAAAAACTGCCCTGAAAACATCTGGAAGAGACAAATAGGAAATAATAAAAAAATAAATAAAAGCAAAATCCTCCGAGTAAAATTAGCATGTGGAAAAGGCCTCCACTGCAGAGAGAGAGAGAGAGAGAGAGAGAGAGAGAGAGAGAGCGCGAGCGCGCACACGCGAGCGCTCTGCCCACCCAGTGGTCCCAGCAGTCAGTTCCAGGAGCATCCCTACCCCAAGTCCCCCATTCTGGAGAGAACCTTTCCAGTATCACTAAAATCAAGGCAAATTGGTTCTGTCCAGGGAGAGCCTGGAGAAGCAACAGTGAACAGTTAATACCTGACTAGACTCAGGAAACAAGCACATGGAAAGACAGGAGAAATGGCCGATCGCCTTGATATCCCAGGGTAGCCAGATATCCTTCCTCCAGCCCTCTAAACATACTATTATCTGGCTGATTTTTAAAGCACCCATTTTTATCCAACACATTACAGCAGGACTGAAGACCAAATCAAGCCAGTCAGATTTCACGTTGGAGAAACTAAAAAGTTCTGGTTGACTGGTCTCCCTGGGGTGATCCCCAAAGATGGGAAAATTGACAGGAGCCTCTCAAAATAGGAAGGAAGAGGCTGCAAGGCTGAAGCCAAGTCGGGGGGGGGGGGGGGGGGGCAGAGAGGAGGCCCAGGCTGCTGCTTAGACTGGGTGATGCTTCTCCTCTCAACATGTTCTCCATTTCCCTAGGCCTCTCATTCTCCACAATGCACTACAAAACTGGCCAGGTGGAAGAGTGTAGTGCTTAAAAAACAAAGTTGAGGCACACACACACACAACATACATACTGGTCCCTCTGAAAAATCAGATATCCCAAACCTCCAAGAGCTAACTCTAAGGTGGGGCGCATCTGAGTCAGGCTCATCCGACTCCTCCATTTCTAATGTATCTTTCATCTCCCAGTAAGCAGAAAAATACTTCCCCAAGAGAAAGAGCTCCATAGCCTGGTTGAGTTTGGCTGCCCTGGTGTCTCAGGAAACAAATACAGCCAGCTCCTCACTAACAATGTTAGCTGGACCCACAATGAAATTTAACCTGTGACACAACTGTACTTTTCATTTAAACTTTCATTTTGAGAGAAGCAGTATTTGGAGACCTGCAGTTTGTCCCGCTAATAAAGACAAGTGTTGGGACCTTTAAAGATGTCATTCATCTCTGGCTTTTATTAAATTCAATTTTCTTAAGCCCGTGATACATTATGAAATTAGGGGTTGACATTCCTCTGGAAACAAAAATATATATCAAACACAAATAGGAAAAAACCCTCTATTACCAAGAATTTATGGCTTAAAGTTTATCTCTTTTCGTTTTTTTACAAGCACGTGGTTTGTTTTAGATATCTGAAATGTTATTATGGATCTAAATTTCATTAGTATTTTTTATAAAACAGTAAGCTCTTGCTCTGACCAGCACCGAGTCAATATTCCTAGTAGATTCTCTGAAAACTTGGCCTGCGGATTTTCCCACTGCGGTTCTGTCTTCAAACTTTCCTGCTGCTGGCTTCTTGGGGAAATAGAGCCAACTGAAGTGCTCACACTTACTATCACCCTCCTAGCGAGGAGGAAAAAGTAGCCTCAGCTCCATGAAAAAAGAGGGGAAACTCACAGAGGTTACCTCAAAGTTTTAGGTTGATCACATTAATTTCAAGAGCTTATGAAGAAGTGCTTAAGTGCCAGCTTCTAGGGGCAGTAGTTTTGAAGTTATTTGAAACTTATTCCTGCCCCTTCTTTCCTCTCACTCAATTTCATCATTCCCTTAGAATGATGAAAAATGATGAAAGTGGTTTTTTTGGTGTTTTTTAAGGAGTAGTTGAGTGTCTGCTTGTATAAAGGTAGTGCCAGGAAGGAAAGAACCAGTTTGCACTTAGCAGTCCTCTTTCCTTCCCCTATTAATAGTTTCACAATTCCTTACATTTATATGTCATTTGCATTAAACTAAACTGCCTGAACATCTACTGGATGCAAGACACTGTACAGGTGTTGGAGCAGGATTTAGAATTAAGATGTAGCCCTAGCTGGTTTGGCTCAGTGGATAAAGCGCTGGCCTGCGGACTGAAGGGTCCTAGGTTCAATTCCAGTCAAGGGCACATGCCTGGATTGCGGGCTTGATCCCCAGAGGGGCATGCAGGAGGCAGCCAATCAATGATTCTCTCTCATCATTGATGTTTCTACCTCTCTCTCCCTCTCCTTTCCTCTCTGAAATCAATAATAAAAAAAAAATATATATATATATATATATATATATATATATATAAAGATGTAGTCTCCGCTTTGGAGAAGTCCACAGACTAATGAGCAGAAAAGATACGTGAACAAATAATGAACAATTCACTAAGATAAGTATCTTAGAGGAGGAACATACCGAGTGTTAAACTTTTCAGTTGACAGTGTACTTTCAAATATATTTTCTTATTTTACCCTTATTAATTCTGGAAGATAGGTCATATCATCATCATCATGAGGTCATACACCAATACTATTAAACACCTACTATTTACCAGGCAGGGGCTAGGTGTGGACACAGATAAATACAGTGAGATGTGGCTCCTCTCTGTGAGGTGCTCAGAGTCTGGGCATCCTTGGAGATGTGCGGAAAATGAAATCATTTCATTCCTTCCATCTATTGTTTACTATGTGGCAGACACTCTGCTAAATGTTAACAGGAATGATCTCACTGAATCCCCCTAACAACTCATGAGGTGGGAATCATTATTATCCCTATTTTACAAATAAACTAAGGCCCAAAAAGAAGCTGTCACTTGCTCAAGTTATACTGCTAGTTAGGGACAGAGCTGGGACTCCAAATGGGGAAAATGAGACTTAAAGAGAGTAGGAATAACAGCTTTCAAAATTTAAAGGGCCAAGAAAGATCTGATTCTTTACGTCTGAAAGGTTGTCTTTAGGGAGCTCAGTCTACTTTCTCCAAGGGATCAAGGAGCCTCCTGGCCACAGTGAAGAGGGGAAGTTGAGAGTGAGAAGTGAGGGCTGCATTGGCTCTCAAGTTACCCGAGCAATAAATGTGGACTATCCAGGCAGAAAGTCCTAGTGGACTGCTACCAAAGAGCCTCCACTATGGCTGCAGTGACACAGATGATGATAAGCTCCAAGCTCGGGGACGCAGGAACCATGAGCCTTCAGTTTGCATCTCTAGCACCCAGCTCCATTCTAGCATGCAGACTTCACTCTCAAGTTTTTTGTTTGTTTGTTTTTCTTGTGGTTTTTGTTGTTGTTAGTTTGTTTTAATCCTCACCTGAGGATATTTTTCCATTGATTTTTAGGGAGAGTAGAAGAGAGAGAAAGACAGAGACAAATAATGATGTGAAACACATTGATTGGTTGGCTCTTGCACACGCCCTGATCAAGGACCGGGCTGGGGAGAAGCCTGCAACCAAAGCCCTTGACTGGAATCAAACCCAGGACCCTTCAGTCCGCAGGCCGACACTCTATCCACTGAGCCAAACCGGCTCGGGCCACTCTCTCAACTTTTGATGAGTAAACATATGAAGGAGCTGACAAATGGCAAGACAGAAGCCAAGCACATGGCTCTAACAGAAAACACTGCTTTGACCAAGTTCTCCGTAGGACCAGAGAGGTGATCTACCTAAGGTGACAAAGATGGAAGCCAGAAGTCAAACCCCAACATGGAATGAATGCTCCAAAGCACTTTCTACCTGATCCCCTGCCTCTCATCTTTAAGCGGTTTCTTCTCCTCCCTCAACTGCTAAAAACTGCCAATGTCCCAGCTTTCTGTTTGTCCAGACCAACGGTTTCCTGGAACACAGGACTTTCAGGGCTAAAATTGGGACAGTTGGTCACTCTACACCATCTAGAAGTTGCCTGCACCACTAGGTTATCAGAAAGTAGAGCACCATAAACCCAAAAAGCTGATGGTGGATGGGAACTGGCCACAATTGACAATTAAGGACAAAAGCCTTAGGACGTGAGATT